AAAAAATACACTGCAACTTTGCAGAGAAGCCAGCAGCAAGAGAGGTAGGATGGTCAAGCTAAAGCACAGTCTGAACACAGCTGCCTTAGAAAACGGCAAAGACGAGCTGTGAGTGAGAAACACAGTGTTGTCTGGCTCAACGGTTAAACGGCTCGGAGCGCTAAGATTTGGTCAGTAACCTTGATCAAAGGAGTCGTCAGAGGAACTGAGGCCCGCCTCCTCCAGCAGCAGCGATAAGTGCTTGTGGTTCTTCTTCTGAGACTTCTTACTGGAAAGCAGGGAAGTTGGCGACCGCCTCTTCCTGGTCTGGTTGCCATGGGAACGCGTTGCCGATAGAGGAGGCCAGCCCCCCCGGGCGGAAATGGGCTCCTCCGAGTCAGAGTCTGGTGTGGAGGAAACGCATTTAATGATTTATGAGGCAAGATAAATAAAACAATTCTGCCTGACCTGATCAGATTCAGCAAACTCAGCTTGAACTCGTGTTTTTTATTTAATACTGAATTAAAACAATTTAACATGTATAAAATAAATAAATCAACAACCTGACAAGGTAAAGTCTGTTTATATTAGGGCTCCAAGATAAAGACAGTCACTTGAAATATTATTGAATATTGTGACGATATGCTTTTAATTGTTAAGTGACATGCACCACTTGTCAATCAAACCAGCAGACTTGTCAGCAACAGACCAGTCACCAGTCAATACTGAAGAGCAAATTTCACACCCCCTAGCTACAGCAACACACTGCTATTTTCCTCTGACAAACTTGTTGGAATTTGTATTACCAAAGCTGCACGCTTCTAGTAGATTTTGTGAAATATCTAGAAGAAAATACTGGTAAGTTACACATAAGTGGGGAACGTGCAATTCAGACACGAGTAATCCTGAGTGGTTAGAAGGCAGAACAGGATCTGGAACAGTTCAAATGATTMATAACAGCTTGAAGCCGTCCTCACAAACAGCTAAACAACAGTGATAGGCAGGAACTACCAAGTGTTATGAGAGTAAGAACAAGTAGATCTACCATGTTCTGAATGTCATGGCTTTATATGTTAGATAAAGTTCAACTCAGTTACATGAAAGGTCAGTACTTAAAGCTGGCTGCGGCTGGTTTTGTGTGTAGGTCTGTGTTGCAACTTCAGGTCACACAAGTTTTTGTTTATTATAACAGGTTAAAATAAATTTACATAATGTATCTAATAGCCTATATGCCATGGTCATTAATGACGTATTTCTGGTAAAATTCTTGCCACTGCCTATGTTTTAGCGTTAGCTGCTAGTACTAGTCTGTGAAAAAGTCACAAAAGTTAAAGCATCTGTGATCTACTGATATAAAACGTGAGTTCTGTTGTGTGCCGTTGAGTCCACTAAGCAGCAGGTACGATCGAGTTGTTAGTTTTTCTCCTTTTTCCTCGATGAGGAGGTGACAGCTGTGGATCATAGCATTACAGGGAAAACTTATCTATAACGCTTGCGTTTGTAATCAGCATTTCTAACCTGAAGATATTCAAGAGCCAGCATCAGAAATGAGACGTGTGAAATGAAACGTCGGGGAAAACGATCCAAACCATACAAGTAGCCCATCGATTTAAAGTCCAGACTCTGCTCTTTCCAACAATATAAGTGTCACAGCTCTACGTGAAAAATTCACTGAACAAGCAGCCATGGAATAGCGAAAAAGACTAAATTCTGGAACCATAAACACGAACGTCTTTCGTTTTTATGGCTTTAATCCACTTTGGAGTGATTTTTTTTCCCACTTGGCTGGACCTGTACGTCTCCTGTGTTAATGTTGGTACATGTAATATGCTAATTCTGTACTGTGGAGATCATTAAGAGTTGTTGTCGGGTGAAAAAAATCTTTCGCTAACACTGTGTTGACCGTGAACCGGAAGTGCTGGGAGTGGCATCAAGTGCTGGACCGGATGTCTGTGGCATATAGGCTATTAGCTCTGCAATGAAGACTACTTCTAACCCTGGATAGCTCAACGGCAGCATAAAAACCTGCAGTAACTCTAGTTTAAGCTTTTAAGGATCTATTGCAGGGATAGGCAATTCTGGTCCCCAAGTGCTGCTGTCCTGCATGTTTGWCATGTTTCTCTGCTCCAACACACCTGATCTGAATGAATGTGATTATCAGGCTTCTGCAGAACTTGGAAGAGGTAATTCAATCTCTGAATCAGGTGTGTTGGAGCAGGGAAACATGTAAAACATGCAGGACAGTGGCACTTGAGGACCAGGAATGTCTACCGCTGATCTATTATAAGTTTCTCCGTGATTTCCTTCCAACAACTTCACTGAATTGATCAAGTCTCAGAACTACTTTGCCTCAATGTCTCCGGTAACGCTGTTAGCTTCACAGCTAACATTACAGCTGTGTAGTTTGTGGGAGGTCTCTTTACCCTGGGTCACATGACTGGAGCGATCTTATGTAGGCATCATGTCAATTTAAAGGAGGGTCGGAATAGACAAGTCAGACTTACAATTACAAGAAACTGATACTGCCCTAAAAAACTGGTTTTTGCACGATTCAAGTTTTAAAAATGTTCTTTTTATCAAACTAAGCTTCAGTGGAATAGAAGTTTTAAGAGTTAAATCATAAAAACATATCTTAAACATCTCTGTTTACTCCTGACTTTACATATTTTTCTACATGTTCACAACACACAAAATAAATTGGGCCAACAGGGAAAACCAAGCCAAACAAGCTGCCTAAATCTCAAGACATTTTTTTCTAAATCAGAAAAACATTTTCTAGACTCTATTCAACTTCAATCAAGCACATTAAATATATATTTCCTTTTCAGATACTTACTATTGGAGCAACTGCTGAGCTCAGATCTCATGGGCGAGAACATAGATGTTTTCTTCTGACCTTTCACCTTCCGAACAGTCTCTGAAGAAGTTTTGGCACTCAGCTTGAGTTTCCCTCCTTTAATCGAGGACTGGATGCCCCGATCTTTAAGTCCACTGTCAGCAGATTTACTCTTGGACTTCTCTAACTTTGAGCTGGACAGAAGTTTGCGAGAACCGCAGAGAGAGCCGAGCTGTGAGAGCGAGAGCGCTCTGTCGAGGTCTGATGCCAGCTGCTCCTGCTCGCACATGAGGCCACGTTTTGCCTTCAGCACCTGCAAACGCCACCGAAGGCACATTGAAATAAGTTAAAGTAAATCACACTGCTGCTGCTGATGTTGGTGCAAACGTGTGGCTTACCTCCAGAGTGTGACTCCTGGACGACTCTTGGTCGTTCCAGATCTTCTTTTTCTTCTTCTTCACCTTCAGACCTGCACTTCCTGTCTCTGTCTCCTCTCCGTCTCTGGACACACGAAACCTCTTCCTCTGTCCTTCCCCGGCCTCAGAGTCTTCTGAATATAGAACTGTCCTACCCGCCCTGAAAAACGAACTTATTTACACAAAACACAAACAAGAAGGCTAAAAAAATGATTAAAACAGATCTCCACACTCACTTCCCAGGCCTGCTGTCCAGTTTGGGAGGTGTGATTAAGTGTTTCCTCTTCCTGGGTCTTCCTCGACCACGTCTGGTCAGACTCCTCCTCTCATCCTCCTGCTGCCGCTCACTGACATTAACCACAGAGGAATTACTGGTGTGTGTTGGACCAAGGTAAAAATAATAACAATCTAGCTTTATTTGTGATTATTTCATCTTGTTWGGTGTAAACATCACTAACCGTTTGTCTCTGCGTCTCTGCAGTTTGCTCAGCTCTCTTTGTTTCTCCTTATACGTCTTCTGAAGTTCAGCCAGGCGGACACGATACTCCACTTCCACAGCGTCCAACATGTCCACTGACATTTTACTGTACAGCTGCTCAGACACACACACAAAGATGCAARATKAAGTCTGTGTCATAACTCTCCTAATGGAGCCGTTTTATAATCTGGGCAACATCTTACTTACTGGTTCTTCCTTCCTCTGCCTCCAGCTGTACTTCTTGTTGGGGTCCAGAGTTCTCAGCAGAGCGATGTGGGACTGTTGTTCTATGGCTTCCAACAGAACCTGCCTGCTTGCCTCAAGAAGACAAGCTAAACCCTCCAATGTCAGATCTGAATGAGATGCACAAAACATTAGAACACCTGAGGAACATCAMCGTGAACCAGCAGAGGTAACGGCTCAATGCTTACCTTCATCCAGGACGCTGGGCTCAGCCTCATGTTGGCCAATCTGGCTGAGCAGGGCCATTCCTTCCAGGGCCACCATCTCCAGAGACCCTGCACTGCTCAAGTCTGAACCAGCAGGTGGATTTTCAACCTGCAACAGGAGCGTTGGGGGAGATGGTGAGCTGGACCGGGCTTGGGCCATCTCGCTCGCTGTTATCAGGGCAAACATGCCGCCCATGGGATCCTCTGGGCGGATGAGGAGCGGGACAGGAGAGCCAAGGGCAGGAGGTTCACAGGTACTCTCTTTCAGACAGGAAGTGTCAGGCTGCTCCTGTTCACACACAGAGCTAGTGGTTTGTTCTAATGACACACACATCTGAGCTGGGTCCTGGCTGTCCGGTTCTGCAGTGATGGATGATGGATAATGTGTTTGTTCTGAATCCTTGAGGAGCTCTGGTTTAGGCTCAGTCTCTGCACATGCAGGAGACAGGACGTTAGCTGCCTGACATGAATAAGATGACACCTCCATTTTAACTGGACTCCCTTCTTGTTCTTCCTCCCTGACTTGTAGCCCTTTGGCTTGTTGTGTTGGAGGACTTGGGGCGTGCAGAGGTTGGGCTTTAGGGGTTTGTCTTTCTACATCAATATATCGACTGGCCTGATCAGGGCTGTGGCTTTGACGGAGCACTACGAGTGCCTCTGGTGTCACATCAGGGCGATACTGCTCCTCGTTGGGTTCTCGTTTAAGAAAGGATCCAGTCTTTGTTGGTTCTAGTTTCTGTGGCTTGATATCTTCATCCAACAGCCTCGAGTGGTGGTGAGCTGAGGGTAAAGATGCAGCTACAGCAGGAGAGCAGGAGCGATCTGTGTTCTCAGATGTTGATGTGGAGATGTGATAAGGGTGGAAAGGTGCGCCGTACGGGGCTGTGATGGACTGGTACGGGTAACCTGGAGGGAGGTCTGACATAAACATAAACATTAAGCAAGCAGCAACTCAACATTTGAAAACTACACATCATCCTAAAACAACGCTACTTTTCTCCTAATCTACAGGTTTTCTTTTACAAGATGATGAGAAACTAACCAGCGTAGAGGCCCTGCAACGGTGCAGGTGCTGGCTTCTGCCTTTCCCTCAAGCCCCCCTCCCCATCCTCTGCCACCTCCTGTTTTGGCCGTCGTGGTGAGGATGGAGGTGGAGAGGCTGAGCGGGGAGAGGATGGATGAATCAGGGGCTTTGGCGTGTGTGAGAGACGCCTCTGCCTTCCTTCCTCTGACTTGATGGGGGCAACCGAAGAGGGGATGGGAGGCAGCGGGGTGAGGGAGGACGTGGATGGCGTGGGTGATCGAGGGGGAGGGGTGGGTTTGCGAGGATGCAGGACTGGTGAGGGGGAAGAAATCAAAGAGGCTCGAACTTTAGGGTCTGTGTTTCGCTTGTCTACTTTGTCTTCGATATCTGGCCGGTGTTCGCTGGCTTTAAACCGCTCCTGAAACACATGAGAGGAAATGTTTCAGTGTCTGTTCAGAACGTGACAGGTGTTTTGAGGAGATGAATATTTATGTCTTGTCTGCATTATTTAAACGTCCTTTAAGTGAACTCCTTGCCAGGATGTGGCTGTTTATGAAAACTAAATGCTCCATTTATATTGCATGTTGTAGTTTTGCTAGACTTTTCTCTTATTTTGGTGTTTTGAAACAAGCTCGAGTCAAATCCAGCTTGCAGTGAGGCGTTGGACTCCTTACAAAGAGATATAAACAGGCAGTWAAAGTTTTAAATACTCCTTTATATTTTTCATCCAAGAGACAGTCTTTCTTGTAATATTTTTAAGTGCGCTTTATCAATATTGCTTCAGACTTCTGAAGTGTTTTTTGAACTTTGGCTGCTTTTTCCACTCATTTTCAGTCCACTAGCTAGCTAGTTTTGAAGTAACTAATTTGCTAGGTGGTGATGTAGTGCACAGCTTGTCACAAAGAGACAATATGGTCCTTTTTTTTAGCTGAATCTAGAATGAATACCTAAGATAACACCATTTCACACACAAAATATTATATYCATTTCTTAGGAGACATTTTTTGCATAGAACTGTTCAGGTGGATGCATGCAAGTCGTCACTTACGACTATCTGTGCGTTCCTCTGAAGCTCCAGGACCTGAGCTGTGTGCTGCTGGATCATGAACAGCTCCTGCTGCCGGATCATCTGGTGCTGAGAGAGGAGCTGCAGCTGGGCAGCGTGCTGCAGAGAGCTGCTCGTACCATAAACACCCGACCACACCTGAGCTCCACGCTCCAGGACGTCACCTCCTGCAGCCCGACAGAGAAATAGAAAAAATAAAATCTTACATTTTGAACCAGTTTCTACTTGTTTGATTAAACTGTTAATAATTAGTTTTCTTTTCAAACTGTCTTCTTTGTAAGAACCATGCAACTCATACCGTAATGTGGCAGGTGTTCAGTAGGTATGACAATAAGCTGCCCAGTCTGAGGGTCTCGGGCAAACTGGTAGGGAGGGGGTATGGAGCCTGGCAGAGAGGGTGGGTAGCCTGGGGGGAGAGGCTGGTGGAGTGAGGAGGCTCCCAGGCCTGAATAAAAGAAAACAGACAGATATGATAAAACATTTTTCTCTGCTCAACTACATCCTCCTACAGTCATTGTGCGGACTGGATAAATAAGCCACATATTGCTTTTTAGTGGGTTGTATTTTTTACTGTGTCTAGACAGAGAGGCCCTTGGGGAGTTTTGCATGAGTGTATGTCCCGTTCTTCTTGTGCTGTCGGATGTTATGTGTAAGCTTCCATCAGGATYTGACTGTGTGCATTTTGCTGGCGGTATTCTGAACAGCGACCACAAGAGAAGCAGTTCTGGAATGTCCTGAACAGAACAGGAATGTCAGTGACACCTGACCCCCAACGGTCTGTTGCTGGACAGACTGCCCGACAGATAGACAACGCCTCACTTTTTCTGCTGCACCAGTCAGAAATTATGCAGAATTTAGCTAACGGGTTTTAGATTCAGACAGCAAAACCTCAGTCCATTTTATTTCTTTCACTAATCTTTGACAAGAAAAGGCTGGCAGCGGTTATCAAATGACGTCATCCACATGTCTGTCCGTACCGTATGGAGAGCTGGACAGCCAGACTGATGGGGCTCCAGGCCGGGGCATCCATGGGTGAGAGGTCAGAGTTGAGGGGTCGGGAGGCCACCGCCCTGCCCCTGCTAGAGCAGCCCCGCCTGTGACCATGAGGTTGGGGGTCATGAGGCTGGGTGTCATCATACTGGGTGTCAAGCCTCCAGGCAGAGGGGAGGGATGCATCTGAGTAAACTCAGGCAGATTCTTGGACTCTCTGCAACAACATGAGATCATTTTAATTAAATACCTCATTTAAATAATTAATAGTAAACAAGAAGTGTAGTTATTGTTGCTATAGCTTCTGTTCTTGATTATTTAAGTCACTTATGTTTGAGTTAAAGGAGACATATCATGCTTTGAAATCCTGCTTTTTCACATTTAAATTATTCAGTGGGGTCTATATAAAGTGGAACTGCAAGGCTTTGGTCTGAATTCCTCCTTATTCTAAGACCCTCTTGCACCCTTTTTTTCTGAGCTGTGTCTCATAATAATTGACAGGGTTGAAAAATAGGACCCAAACAGAATATAAAAATATCTACTCAGCACCAGGAGTGACTAAATTCAACTTTTCTGCTCTCCTAGAGACTCCAAGTACAAAACAAAATGTATTCAACAGCTAAAATAGTGGATTTTGTATATGTCCCCTTTAAGGACGATGATCATGTTTTGTTAGAAAAATCATCACCTGATGACTTTCTCCTGCTCACGATCCAGACGAGCAGCCAACAGTCTGTCGTTGTGGTGGCGAGCGCGCTCCTCTCCTCGCTCCTCATCTGGGATGAGTTCAGGAAAAGGGAAAAATCAGACATTGGTGTTTGATAGCTTCATTTGAAAATTGTTCAATAATTTTTCTTCGATTAAAGCAAAGTGCTCAGTTAATGGATGCAGCAATAATCAAAATCTGGAGTGTTTAAAACAAAAATTATTTAAACTGCTGTAGAGCCCCATTTGATTTGCATCAGCTACTGAAAGAAACACAGGCTTCTGGCTAACAGCTTCATCTTAATTCACCAAAGCAACTGTTTGATGGAAAACTAAAAGAAAAACACATTTACTCGGCCAATTACTTTTTGACATAATTGTTATGAAAAAAACAACAACAAATAAACAATGTTAAAAGTAACTAATTGGTGTTTTTTGGTCATTATGGCCCTTTGCAATATTTACATACTTCAACCAGAGATCATGGGGGCTACAAGTTTCTGCTACTGTCATTTTGTGGGTCAGAAGCTGAAACGTTTGGGAACCATTGTACTAATGAATAAATAAGTCTAGAAGTCCATAATCATAATACATACAACACTTTAAAACATGGTTGAATGTAAAACTGACAGCATTGTTAAGATTAATAATATACTGTTTGTTCACATAAAACACGACAACATTTTAAAAATTAGAGTTGTTTGACAATGTCAGTAACCCACTAAAGTCGCTAAAACTAGTCTTTAACTAATCAGTGTGATAAGGATTAAACGTAAGGTTATGAATATACAGCGGGTAAAATAAGTATTGAACACGTCACTATTTTTCCCAGTAAATATATTACTAGAGGTGCTAATG